CAAATCTTGCACATTAAGTACGTGTATGTATTATGTCATGCACTTGGAACTAGTGTACGAGTGCTTTTAATATAATTAACATTTTGTGACATTTTGTATTTTTTTCAGATATTGAGACTAGCTTTCAATCTTGTATGTTTCACGTGTTTTATTCAATAATCATGAGTTGTAAGCATAAGAATTTATCATTTTAGCTAAATCAGCGAGGGAGGTAATCTGAACAATGCCGGGGTAATATGAAATCAGGTTCAGGCTACCCCCGGGGGTAATATGAAATCGATTTCAGATTACCGGGAGGTAACTTGAAAGGGGGGGGTAGCTTGAAGTCTTTACACCGGCAAGTTGGGTGATGCCTCAGGGATGCACAATCCCTTGCTTGGAAGTGGGGATGACTGTCAGCTAGGTGGGTAGTGCGTGTGTCCAAAGAAAAATTACTTTGTATAATATCTGTTTGCTCTATTTTGGAAAATGAAAACTATAACTACAACTAAAAGTGTAAAAATGGCGCTTATGACAACTTTTAAATACCTTAACTTAGAATTCACATCTCTCTTTGAAGTAAAGGTGCACACTTTACACACGTCTTTAATGTTGATTGTTGTTTGATTATGCATTTTAAAAAATAGATAGTTTTACTGTGTGCAGTTTGTATTTAATCTTTTTCGTTCTATCAATCTCGCTTGAGATCAGAGAAAGTCAGAGTTATGTTCCACAATACATTTTCTGGCGAACCTCCAATTATTCTGCGGTTCCTACCTAATTACTCAACGGAAACTCAGTGAAACTGAGAATACTACATATTTTTGCTTTAAAAACATACATTTTCAAAATCAATTAAGAGGCAAGAGCCTAACTTGGTTTAAAGTTACATTAATTAGATACAGTTTTAATATGAAAAATATGATACAGACTACTATTTTCAGTTATGTTTCGGTTGTCTGTTAATGTGGTTGTTATCAGGGTTACAAGCTTGTTATATAAACAGAAAACTCGTCAAATATCATTCTATTGAGCACATGACTTTTGTTTTTTAACATACACTCCTTTGCAAGCGAAGTAGGTTTTTCTTGTATTCTTAATAGAAGCTTAGATTACATGGTTGTGGTTACTTATTGTACGATGATTAACATTCTTGTTATTGAGTGAGCAGGGTGCATCATATAGCTTTGATTAAACAATGTACCTAATTATAATTTTTTTATTAAAACTTTCAAACTTTTGTTGAGTAGTAATTTAAAAACAAATCATAATTTGTTTAATTATTTCACGTTTATCCATCTAAAAAGATGAGACTCACACTTTTTATTATGTTATGTGGTTTAGAAAAATGACCCGCATGAAATGCTGTGTATGATTAGAAAAGTTAGTAAAATGGAATGTGGTTAATATTTACAGCTTGATAACAAAAAGAAAGAAAAAACCGCATATATAGGAATTCGTAGGTATGGTGTTAGAGTCATACGAAAAATGTTTTCGGAGCCTTTATTTATTGTATCCAGACCTATTTAGAATCAACTTTTTTTATAATTATTACTCCTAATTCCTTCTTTGATTCCTGGATCATGTGGACACGTATTATATTATAGAAATCAATATAATTCTGAAGCCAAACCTATTTTGCTCCAGAAGCTGCTAATTGATGTATTTTAATGTGTGCCATTTCCATTAGTAGTTTTGCTCCCTATGTTGGCGACTTGAATTTTATAACCAATTCAAATTCGTACCATATTTGTCCCCTTTTTTGCCTATGCTGCTTTTCCAATCGTTACATTTTCTTTTCGTTACAGAAGAGGAAAACTGATGGCAAAACATATTTATGTAACCACTGGCATCTCGAAATTCAATCTCTAGCCATCACTGGCAGATGTTTCCAAACAAGTAGTTTTCGAAGTGTTACCATGGATACTAGCTTGTCTGTAGTTGAATATCGTTGAAGAAACAGGTAAAACACCTATCGTGCATTAGTGATACCAAGCGATGTGCGCAGATGAAAATTTCGGGCACCTCAAGGATTGAGCAAAGACTTATTTTATTCAGCTAGACAAACCGCAAGCAGCTAGACTTGTAAATCGATCGAAGGTTGTCTGAACTGAAGCTAGGTAACAGGAGTGACTAGAAACTCATGGAGCAGAATATCCTGAAAAGGAACAAGATTTCCTACCATATTTATTACAGTGCAATATTACAGTGCAATAAGCAGTATTTTGGCCAAGCAATTATTCTATCATAATTTACTTTCAGGATTATAAGTTTTACCGTAACAACCACAATATTAATAAGTCTGTCATGTAATGCCAGAAGCACCGTGTGCTAAATGAACGTGCAAACAATACATTTAAGAAATTGGACAAGAGATAGTTGTTATTCTGTTAAGCAATACTGTCAAACTGATTTCTGTAAAAATGTTTAGTATTTATGTCATCTATAATTAGAAAATCACAGATAATTTGAGAATGATCGCACACCAGTGATCGAAACGTCATATCTGTTTTCAAAATATTCTTCCTTACTGTAAAAGCTGTAACTTGTTATAAAATAAAACCTATAACAAGTAAGTAAACTTAAAATGAAACTAGTAACTAAAAAGACAGTTATATCTAAGATATTGTTTTCCTGTAAAATGGTAAAATGCATTGTCAAAATATTTCGCTTGCGCTTATATAAATAAATAAGTAGTTTCATATTCATAAGCGTATTTTGGACTTTGCTCTTAGTGAGACGCAGTATTTATGTTAAAAGAGAACAACATTTTTTTCCCTAAGTTAGTTTAAATATAAAAATAAAGATTAGACAAGTAACATAATAAATTAAATTGCAGTATTGATTGGGAACATATGTCAATTCTTTTTACAAATTCAAACTTTTGATAATTTTCATTGTCTGTCTTAATACTTCGGTTAGTGTTTTAAATCTGAACCCACTTTAAATTATCTTGATCATTATAGTAGTTGCATTCAAATATATATAGCTACTAAGCTTTGATATTTCTTATGTTTACTGCAGTTGACATGAGTAATGCAGCAAGAGATAATGTTTTCATTGTATGTAGGTGTAATTCACCACAGTAATGAAGAAACTGTCGAAAACTGTTAGAGTTTTTTTAGATACGACCGATTTTCCACCAATCGAATAGATTCATCGTTCGATTCTACAGAATTCCCGAGTGTACAGTAAGCATTCGACTAATCAAATCTGTCTTGTGCTTAATTTCCACAAGATAAACAACCAATAAGAGATAAATTATTTTTTGTGTGTGAAAAAGGACGTTTGACCTTTGAGATCACAGAAGTTGTTAACGTTTCACCAAAAAAAAAAGTGCACGGAAGTATAAATGATTTGTTTAGATTGCGTCCTAAAAATTGAAAGTTCGACTGTTTTGAGGTAACCTACTAGTAAAGTTATAAGTGCACCCAGAAGATTAATTGTTTGAGGAATAGGAAGTTATAAGATTACAAATATTACAACAATAGTATTCACGGTTATATCTGATATGCACGAAATATTTATAATCATAAAAAATTGATTTAATCATGTTCCAAACCAAGTGGTCGCCAATAAAGATTTTACTAAGAATATATCTTATTAGTTGAAATTGTGAAATCGATAAAAAATCTTTAGCAATTAATTTTACTTTATGAAGTATAATTTAGTCTTTAAGTTACTGACACTATGCATTAATGAACCTACTGGTTTGGAAGTCAAAATAGAAATTATTAATAAAAGGACAAATCAGAAATCTCAACATTTTTGTTGTTAGTTTTTTGCTTATAAACACAAAAAGCTTTTGTTTCTGATAATTCAACATGCACGCTTCTTGGATTACCATAATTGGGGAATTTGTATACCTTTGCATTACAATTTCTTGCAAAATTTGTTTCAAAATTTGATTTGTATCAGCTAGTTTGGTCGGTAGTCCATAAGCTTTTGACCTGATTGATCAACTAAGTGAGTTTTCTTTATAGAAATGCACACCACCTGTTTTATTATGAAATATTCAATAAACCTATTTTATTTTTAAAAGCTCAAAAAAGGTTGATTTTAGAATCTTATATCCCACCGGAAGGCATCCAAAAAGCTGTAGAACAAACTCGTTGTGCATGAAGGTTTAGAGACTTGTACAGAAATTCTATCAATATTTAATTTTGTAAATACAAATGATACTGATCTTAATTATTATTATATACACGTAACCATTATAAGGTGCCTAACTGTATTTCTTTCGTTTGCTGACCCAGGCTGCGCTGGTGTTTTTTGAATAGGCGAAACTATAGTCCACAAAAAGAGGGCGCGGCAAATCAAAGAATGCATTAGATCTTTACGTTATACATTATATTTTGAATTTTACTTTTGGTGAAAAAGAAAAGAAATCTGTAATATAATCATTAAAAAATTGGTTCGCTAAATAATATCGAATAATGAATTATGAGTAATGCTATAATGTTTTTCACAAACCTAATTTAAGTTATTTATTATATAGTGAGTTAAAAGGACTCAAAAACCTCATATATACTATATTTTGGGATTGCTAAACGCCTTGTTGTCGTAATTTTATACTGTTCTGAATGTTGTTGTATGTATTTATTTGACTACAGATCTGTTTTTGCCAAAATATTCTTTCTATTGGCCTTATGGTTGTAAGATGACAATGCCATTTTATTAGATATCGGAACGATCATGTTTTCCATGTGCTCTAGGAAAAATCACTTAAAATTAAAGTTTCACTTTAGAGATTTGTCGAGGTGGTGTATATTATAAAGACAACTGGTCAATTGATTGTAAAGAATCTTGGTAATAATTGTTATACATTCATGATAATTATTTTTCAGTAATGATTCTCATTCTAAACTATTCTGATGCTGCACCTTGAAGGTTCTATAGAATTTTTAATATACAAGTAATACATATTTTTTCCTTTCAAGACAATTTTAATTTTTATAGCAATTAAAACTGGGCGATCGTGGCAAAAAAAAAGGTTTTTAAAATTGAAAAACAGAACTTACCGGATGAACCAATAACAGTTAGAGCTCTGAAGATAAAATCCACCAATCCTGTAGCTTCATGGTTGGCCTCGTGCAGCTGGTAAGATATAGATCCATAAGAAGTGTATTTCAGGGATTCTTCGTGTACTGACTTTAGGTATAGTCGTCTCCTGTCATCTATCGATATCTGCAGAAAGTTAAAACAGTTTTAAGATGATTGGATGTATATTCCTCGATCCAGAAGTGAGATGATGCCTGATATTAGCCAATCAGGTTTTGTGGTTGTGTGTATGTCCGACCAATAGTTTACCGGTTATTCAGAAGTTTATTGACAAGCAAGTAATTCAGAAATAAAGAGGTATAAGAAAATAATTGTTAATGGTATGAAATTAAGTGTTGTACGTATACCCTATGATAATATCATTGAAGTAACTTAAAGTCAACCTCAAGGTCATGTTCTTCGAAACTTGTTGATATGCATCATACACCAAAAGTGTCAATTGATAATGTGTAGACATAAAGAAATGAAACATTGAAACCAAAAATTACCCAAATCGTCCCACAAAAACAAGACTTAAGGTATAAATGCAGATGAGGTAACTGTTCTAACAGCATTATTAAATGTGGATGCCCACCAGTAGCACAGCGGTATGTCTGCGGGCTTACACGCTAGAAACCGGGTTTCGATACTCGTGGTGGTCAGAGCACAGATAGCCCATTGTGTAGCTTTGTGCATATAAAAAAATTTGGAAAACAATAAATAGGTTATTTGCTATCAATGGACTCCTCAATCTATCTCTTTATGTAGACATTTCTGGACAACAAGTTTGTTTTAAGAAGCCTTAAATGAAATGAAATAGAAACTAAGGCTGATGTGAATTTTTCACAAATATTTCAGTTAGAAATATATTATACAGAGTGTCCAAAATCACTGTCCAGGTTGTAAAGCATCGCATGCACAGTAGTCTGATAAAATCAAATCTTATTACAGAAATATGCTAATCTTTTGGGTTACAACCATAAATTTAAAGTATTGCAGATATTCATGATAAAAACGTTCGCTTGTTCAGGAAAAAGGTGAAATATATGTTACTGTATAATAAGTTTATAACGTAATGATACGCATACAATTGTGTTTCTTTTTTGTTAAGAGAATATTACGGTGGTCTCTGTTGTGCCAGTATATAAATCAGATGATTAAATTTGACTGTATGACGTTTCGAAACTCGAAGAGTAGTTTATGGACACTACTTAAACGTCTTAATAAAATAAAGTTAACGAGTTAACGTGGACGTATATCTCGTTTAGCCATTTTGCAAAAGGTAACAACGTTTTTACGCATTCGTTCTATTATAGCTGCACTTGAATACCAGATCATGACTAATAATAGAAAGAGACTGGCCTAACAGGGGCGGATTGGCCT